ACGCCAGGCACCCCTGCGATGAATCGGTAGGGGGCGGCGGATCGAAGACGCCTACGGCGAATCACCGCCGCCCCCTCCCTTTTTGGAAGCGCCTATGTGGCCGAACGTTGAGGCCAGACCTGTGTTCCCCGAATCGGTTTGGAAAGCCTTCGGGGAACACGTGGGCATCTTGAAGGTCATCTTGGCCGTCTGGAGGCCATTTTAACCCTTTCGGGCCTTCTTGCAGGACGTCTTGGAGGGCTCTTGGGCCGTCTTGGAGGCCATCTTGGGCCGTCTTGGGGGCCTCTTGGGGCCGTGTCTTGGGCCTCTTGGGCGATCTTTGGGGGCATTTGGGCCGTCTCGGGCCGTCGGAAGGCAGAAAGCAAAGCAACTGCCACAATCCTTCAAAAACCATAGGAAATCTATGATTTTGGCCTTTCGGGCCGTCCTGGGGGCCCTCTTGGATGCCTCTTGGGCCATCTTAGGGCCTTCTTAGGGCCATGTTCGGCCGTCTTGGTGGGCTCCTGGTCCGTCTGACGCCGTCGGAAGCCGTTTGGGGGGCCTCTCTGAGCCGACTTGTGGCCCTCTTGGAATGTCACAATCCGTCACAAACCTAAGGGAAATCAATGTTGTTGGCCTCCTCTGGCCTTCCTGAAGGCCCTCTTGGGAGCCTCTTGGGCCCTTTTGGGCCAGCTTCGAGCCAACTTCGGCCATCTTGGTGGGTTCCTGGCACGTCTGACGCCGTCGGGAGCCGTCTTGGGGGCCTTTCTGGGCCAACGGGGGGCTTTCTTGGGACTCTTCGGGGCCGTCTTGGAGGCCATCTTGGGCGTCTTGGAGGCCATCTTGGGCGTGTTGGAGGCCTCTTGGGGCCTTCTTGGGGCAGTCTTGGAGGCCACTTGGGCCGTCATGGGGCCCTCTTGGGGGCCTCTTGGGCGATCTTGGGGGCCTCTTGGGCCGTCTTGAGCCGTCGGAATGCCGAGAAGAAGCAAATGCCAAAATCCTTCAAAAACCTAAGGAAGATCAATGATATTGGCCTCTTCGGGCCCTCCTGGGGGACCTCTTGGAGGCCTCTTGGGCTGTCTGGGAGTCCTCTGGGGGGCCTCTTGGGCCGTCTTGGGCCGTCTTGGACTCTCTTGGGCCGTCTTGGAGGCCGTCTTGGACCATCTTGGGCGGACTTGGAGGCCATCTTGCACCATCTTGGAGGCCATCTTGGGCCAACGTGGCCATCTTGGCACCATCTTGAGCCATCTTGGAGGATTTTTTCCGGATTGAGCACCTTTCCGGGTGGCCGGCGGGACGGGCCGGAGCCCCAGGGGGAGTTCTTTTGGAACAAAAACCAAACCCAAAGCCAATAGGATTCGGCACGCCAGGCACCCTTGCGATGAATCGACAGGGGGCGGCGGATCGAAGACGCCTACGGCGAATCACCGCCGCCCCCTGCCTTTTTGGAAGCGCCGATGTGGCCGAACGTTGAGGCCAGATCTGCAAAGCCATCGGACCATGTGTTGCCCGAATCGGTTTGGAAAGCCTTCGGGGAGCACGTGGGCATCTTGAAGGTCATCTTGGCCGTCTTGGAGGCCTCTTGGGCGATATTTCGGCGATCTTTGGGGGCTCTTGGGCCGTCTCGGGGCGTCGGCAGGCCGAAAAGAAGGAAATGTCAAAATCAGTCGAAAACCTTAGGAAAATCAATGTTTTTGGCCTTTTCTGGCCTTCCTGGTGGCCCTCTTGGGGGCCTCTTGGGCCGTCTTGGGCCAGCTTCGAGCCAACTTCGGCCATCTTGGTTGATTCCTGGCACGTCTGACGCCGTCGGGAGCCGTCTTGGGGGCCTTTCTGGGCCAACGGGGACCCTCTTGAGGCGCTTCGGGGCCGTCTTGGAGACCACCTTGGGCGACTTGGAGGCCATCTTGGGCGTGTTGGAGGCCTCTTGGGCCGTCTTGGGGCACTCTTGGGGCCATCTTGGAGGCCACTTGGGCCGTCTTGGGGGCCCTCTTGGGGGCCTATTGGGCGATCTTGGGGGCCTCTTGGGCCCTCTTGAGCCGTCGGAATGCCGAGAAGAAGCAAATTCCAAAATCCTTCAAACACCTAAGGGAAATCAATGATTTTGGCCTCTTCGGGCCCTCCTGGATGACCTTTCGGAGGCCTCTTGGGCCGTCTGGGAGGCCTCTGGGGGGCCTCTTGGGACGTCATGGGCCGTCTTGGACTCTTGGGCCGTCTTGGAGGCCGTCTTGGACCATCTTGGGCGAACTTGGAGGCAATCGTGGACCATCTTGGAGGCCATCTTGGGCCAACGTAGCCATCTTGGCGCCATCTTGAGCCATCTTGGAGGATTTTTGTCCGGATTGAGCACCTTTCCGGGTGGCCGGCGCGACGGGCCGAAACCGACTGGGAGAGTTCTTTTGGAAAAAGAACCAAACCAAAACCGAGAGGATCCAGCACGCCAGGCACCCCTTTGCTAAAGCAAAAGGGGGCGGCGGATTGAATGGCCTTCGGCCCATCCCGCCACCATGCCTGGGTGGCGGGTCTGAGGCTTCGTGGACGTTCGTTGGGATCTGGTGCGAGGCCTCTCAGCGGCCTGTTGGAGGCTGTTTTGAAGCGTCTGGGGGGCCGTTTGGGGGCCTCTTGGGGCCTCTTGGGGGCCTCTTGGGGCCGCTTGGGGGCCTCTTGGGGCCCTTTTGGGCGCCTCTGGGAACCTCCGGGGGCTTTGTTGAGGCGGGAGGGTGGACTTTCCGGTTGGTGGTCCCCCTCTTGCGCCCCCCGCGGCGCCATCTTGGGGCCCTCTTGAGCCGCCCTGGGCGCCTCTTGGGCCGTCTTGGGGCCATCTTAGGCCGTCTTGGGGGCTTCCTGGAGGCCTCTTGGGCCGTCTGATGGCTTCCTCGGAGCCTCTTGGGCCGTCTGGAGGCAAGCTTGGGGGGCCTCCTGGGCAGTCTCAGAGCGTAGGGAAGCCGAAAGGCGAGAATGCCGAAATCCTGCGGAAACCATTGAAAAATCAGTGATGTTCTCTTGGGGCCCTCTTGGGAAGCCTCTTGGGAGCGTAGCGGGGTGTCTTGAAGTTTTCTTGGGCCGCCTTCAGAGCCTCTTGAGACCCTCTTGGCCCGTCTTGGGGCCCTCTTGGGCCCGAAACAGTCATGCGACAAGCCGCGGCAAGCCCCCGACAAGCTGCGCCAAGCCCACGTGATTTTGCAATGTCGTGCCCGGGCAGCGTAAAGACTTCAGGAGTGAGGACTGTGGCCCAGAGGATTCGGCACAGGACCTTGAGGGCACGCCCACTCCTTGCTCAGTGGCACAGTGCCGGTTTCTAATCCGGATGATCCCCACCCAAGGACACGAGGGGGCAGGGAGTACCGCCACCTCTTGGTCTGGGTGTTTGCGGCATGCAGTCGTAATGCGTCGATGACTCGAGGCGGGAGCACCGGGATCCTTGGGGCTTGGCGGCCGCGGTACGCAGGCCGCAGTATGCAGAACACACCTGACCCGCCTCGCACATTGTGAGGCGGGTGAAGCAAACAAGCCGCATCCTGACGGGTGTGGGGCAAGTCCTCTTCCGCCATAGATACACGCAGACCCCCTGTTGTGAATTCTGTCTGGGCCTCAGGGGATGGAAGCGGTGTGCAAATCACCGCTAACAGCCAGCGATTTTACACACCGCAGCCCTCCCAGAAGGCACCAGGGGGATCAGCCGGCCGTCGTCTGTGCACGAATGTTCGAGGCGTGTTTCATGCCCTGCCTCCGCCTCTCGTGCTGGCTCTGAGTGCGCCCCCTCTCTTGCCGTGTCCTCCCGCCTCCGGCCCTTGGGGGCCTCTGCGTTGTGAGGGAAATCTTGCCATTTTGCGCGTGCATCCTATCTTCGATGTCGCAGTTCTTCGTGATGTCCAGGCGCTCATCGAACATGCGAGCGCCGTCGATTCATCTGTACCGATGTGGCGGTCACTCTTCGTGTCTCGGCGCTCATCTCTCGCAATGCCCAGGCATTCGTCGAAGATGCGAGCGCCGTCGATAGGTTGCTTTCGATGCGGCAGTCATTCGCTGTGTCCAAGAAACCCTCGGAGATGGGAGCGCCGTCGATCACGCACCGTTTCAGCGTCCTTCCTCCTGCCTCCGCGTGCCTCGGTCGTCCTGCTCGTCGTCCGTCCCTCTCTTGCTCATATGCCGTCGCCTCTCGTCCCTGCTCGTCGTGCATTCTCTGTCTTCTCGCGTCATCCTTCTCCCCTCGGCCTGTCGTGCCGCTTGTGTCGCGAGGGGAGTCTTGTCACACACCGTGCACATCTTGTCGTCGATGTTGCAGTCCCTCTGGATGTTCAGGCATCCCTTTTCCAGGGCCAGGAACGTGTACACCCAATAATGGTATGTTTGTCCGCCACTTCGTTGCAAACAGCGGCGCAAACGCAGTGTGTGCGTGTGTATAGATGTGTGTGTGTGTGTGTTCAAACACCTGTCGCCTGAAGAACCGGCCGCATTTTCATAGATCGGGTTGTCTTGCGGCGTTTTTGCGAAGCCCCATGGGACAGGGCTCATGTACCTCGGTGGGTATACGCGAGGCTCCCACTTTTGATGTTCAGGCGTTCGTCGAAGTTGTGAGCTCCGTTTGTTTCGGGGGATTGATGTGAAGATCGCTCTTTCTGTGTCGGCCTGTGGAGAAGGGGGTTCTGCCGATTGCGGACCAGTGCGTGCACCCCTCCTCATTCCCCTCACACGCCTCGTGCCCCTACAGACGATCCACGCACCGCCGAAGCGGACGTGCGCGCAGATTCCGCCATCCGCCCATCATGGCACACCCATCGCGCGGATCGTGCTCCGCAAAGGCCCGAGCTCGTTGCATCCCGCTGCAAATGGTATACGAGGAGGTGTCCACGGCCTACTTCGCACACCCAGCTGCCCAGGGTTGGGCCCCTCGCTGGGCCAATTCTCTCGCCCGGCTTGCTCCGAGGAGGTCCCGTCACGGCCTTCAGATGCCTTGCGACGGCTGCACCGTTGTTCGAGGTTGGACCACGATGGCCCGCCCGAGGCCCCCAAGGTCGCCCCAGGTAGCCAGGTTGCAAAGCACGGCTGCAATTCCGACAGGCCACACGATTCGCTCCAGACGCTCTACGGTGTCATGTGTGGCTCAAGCCGTTTCCACTCATATCTTTGTCCAGTGGCCATACGCGACCAGCTCATCAGCGGCGGCAAAGGTATGGTACAGGGCGAGAAGGCAGCCCGACCTGTGGCGGTTGCGGAGGCGCGGGACTGCGGGGTCAATCGCGGAGTCAACCGCGGGAGCAACGAGAAGTCGAAGGTGCCAGACATGTTTAAAGCCGCAATCGAAGCCAGGAAGAACGCCGTCGAAACCGCCAAAATGTTCAGGAACAGGCGCTACACAGACGCGGAGAGCCACGTGAGGTCGCTGGGAGAGCAGGACCAGGACGTTGTCCTACACAGGTTCCATGATTTCGAGAACGAGTTGGTCCGCAGGTCCAGGATGAGGTGGACCACGACCGACTTCGAGCAGTTGTTGGTGCTCGGAAGGGGCGGATTCGGCACTGTCCACCTGGTGCGCTTCCGAGGGCTGCAGCAGTTCTTGGCCCTGAAGCAGATGAGCAAGGAGAGCTACAGGAAGAAAAACCACCGAGAGACGAGGAAGGCTGTCCAGGGTGTGTTCACCGAGAGGGACGTGTTGGCCAAGGCCAGGAGCGAGTGGATCGTGGATCTGCTTGCGACCTTCCAGGACCGTGACAATGTGTACATGGTCATGGAGTTCGGCCAGGGCGGAACCTTGGATGGACATCTGCAGAAAAGAAAGTCAGGGGACGACGATCTCGGGCGATTCACTCACGAGGAGGTCGTCTTCTACACCGCGGAGCTGCTGGAGGCGCTGGATACGGTTCACCAGTGTGGTCTCATCCATCGCGACGTAAAGCCAGATAACATCGTCCTCACACGCGAAGGGCATTTGAAGTTGCTGGATTTCGGGATCTGCATCGTGGAGGCTGAATGTGCCTCGGCCTCCCTGTGTGGCACCCCGCCTTACCTTGCCGTCGAGGTTTTCTTCGAGGGTGCAGGCGCGTTCAGCCCAGCCAGTGACCTATGGGCGTTAGGAGTCGTAGCGTTCGAGTGCCTCTACGGCCGCCCCTTTTGGCAGTCGGGCGACCTCCAGGGGAAGGAGGCCTTCGTCTGGCTGAGGGACAATCGGCTGCGGAACTTGAAGCGCGCCCGGGACAGGATGCTGACCAAGGCTCGGCGACGCGCAAGAGTGATCGCTGGAGTGACCCTTGGTGCGGGCTCACAGGGCCCCCCGAGCACCGCCCTGCGCGCCGGGACTTGGCCCACCGGCGGCCCCCCAAGCCGCGCACCAAAGGCAACTCCTGCCCAGGGCCACTCCTGCGTGCAGTCGAAAGGCACAGCAGGACCCCAAGGTCCTGCTCACCGACGAGATGAGGCAGACCCTCGAGCGGCTGATCTGCCCCCGCGACGCGCGCCTGGGCACCCACGCGCTGCGCAGGGAGCCCCTGTTCGGGGGTCTCGACCTCGGCGCACTCCACAAGCTCGAGCCACCGATCCGGCCCGCAGACGAGCTCAGCGGCCCGGGCGACGCGTCCATTCGGACGGGGCCAGGACGAGGGTACATCCTTTCCAGAGCGCTCCAGAACGCTTTCGGAGCGTTCCAGAACGCGCTGATGAGATCGCTGCGCCCAGGACATCCTCCTGAGCCGTCGGATCCCAGAGATCTGTTCCCCCGATGCTATCCTCGTCCTGGCTTCGTCTTGTCCATGTTCCTGCAGGGCTCCCTGCAGTGTCCCCAGCGGGCCTCGCCCCTTCCGCGCCCCGACTCAGACGCGGACCCCGCCCTGGACTGGAGCTGGCACTCGAAGGAATAATAGACGGCAGAACCATGAGCTCCGCGCGGAATTCTTGGATCGGCCCTGGGCTCCCCCCTCCCCTTGCGGCGCCTACGGCGGCGCCCCTGGCGCGCTCCCCGCGCACGAGAGGGGGCTCCAGAGGCCGATACGAGAAATCCGCACGGACCCCCGAAAGTTCATGCTGATGCCGTTGTCTCTCATCCTAGAGGGGGAAGTTGAGGAGGAGGAGGAGGAGGAAGTTGAGGAGGAGGAAGTTGAGGAGGAGGAGGAGGAGGAGGAGGAAGTTGAGGGGGAGGAGGGGGAGGAGGGGGAGGAGGAAGTTGAGGGGGAGGAGGGGGAGGAGGAGGAGGGGGAGGGGGAGGAGGCGGACCTGCGCAAGCCTGTGCTTGTGTCGGGCTCTGTGCTTCTGCAGGTACGGGCTCGACGTGGAGAGCCACCAGATGGAGAGGCAGCCGAGCGTGCTGATGGAGCGCCTGCGCGGCGACTGCGGCCCCGCCTGAGCGGCCGTCGGGCCCGGCGCCCGGCGCCTGTCGGAGGCCCTCGGCGATCTCGTGTTCAGTGTTCGGGCCGGACGCAAGGGGGGGGGGGGATAGGGAAAGGGGTGGGGTACGAAATCTGCTGCACGCGCCTGGTTTCGGCCCCACCGAGGGGCCCGTTCCTGGATACATGGCCGCCTCCCGGCGCCGGAAGGCGCCGGGAAAATCAGCTACGTGAGCTGATTCTCAAACCCCCCCTTTGCTATCCCCCCCCTTTCGCCCAGCCCGAAGTGTGCACGTTTCATGTTAGGTCGGGCATGTCTTCCTACAGGCAGACTTTGGAAGAGGAAGAAAGCAATATCAAGACAGTGTCAAAGGTAGTCAGAAGAGCACGAAACAACGTCACCAGACAATGTTTCAGTATTCTGGAGCATTCCTCTTGTACAGGGGGACATGCCCGACGTAAGTCTGCCACAGTTGCCTCCTCTTCTTCATCATCTGCCTCCTTGGTCCTGTCGCGGGCTCACCGCCAGATGCAAAGGTCGGAGCTCTCATCGCAGCGCGTTGTCCTCGCAGATCCTTCAGACAGAGCGTGCTGCAAGGGGGCTCAACTCCAGGACGGGAGAAGCCATCGTGTGACTCTGTCGGGACTGGCGGGGGGGAGGGCCTGTCGAGCACGGTCCTTGCCGCCTGGCAGGGAGGTGTGCTGCACAAACATGTGAGCGGCGCAAAGACACGGGGCCGTCTTCGCCGACATCGGCGCGCAAGTTGCCCGCGAACGGTCGCGCGTAGGCGCCCTCGCTTCCATCGCAGCGTGCTGCGCTGGCGGCCCGCGTAGGCCGCCGCGTAAGGTCGCTGTGACATCTCGCGTAAGTCCCGTTTGTGGTCGTCGCTCGTCTGGCCGGCCCCCATCCCTTGCCAGTCTCGTGTCAGGGTCTCGTGGGTGAGCTTTTTTTGCCCGACGGAGCGAGCGTTTGGCCCTCCGAGCCAGCCAGAGGGGCTCCCTCTCCTCCGCCGAGGCGCTCGTTCTGATACCACTCGCGCTCCCAGGCTGGTTGCCTTCCTCTCCTCCTCCTGATGCTGCCCCTCCTCCTCCTCGGCCTCCTCCTTCTCCTCCTCCTCCTCTGCCTGCTCCTCGTCCTCGTCCTGGTTCTCCCCCTCTTCCTCCTCCTCCTCCTCCTCCTCCTCCTCCTCCTCTCCTCCTGCCTGCCCTGGCGCCTCAGACCTCCGACGCCGTGCCTCTCTCTCACAACGCGGGCCCCCGCAGGTCGCGGCCCGCTGCCTTGGGCCGGCTTCGCATCCCGAGCGGGTGTTTTTACGGTCCCGGGGGCTGGCGAAGGCCCCCGGAGTCCGTCGTGATGCTTTCAAGGCGCGAGGGGGGACCAGCTCGGGAGGGGAAGCATCGACCTGCAACAGGCGATGCATCGCCGATGGAGCGACGATGTGCCCCAGGTAGCGAAGCCCACCGCTCCTGGGGTGGGCTGCCGGGGCCTTCTCGGATTGAGTGGGCAATAGTGGGTCGACGCGCCCCCCCCTGATCCCATCCCCTCCCAACGTCGCCCCTGATCATGCGGGCCCCTCCTCGGGCGTTCCTTCGCCAGCATTGGTTGAATTCGAGACGTCATTTTTCTATGCCTCCCAGATGGGGTCCCAGAAGATGGGGCCGGAGGATCGCGCCACTTCGCCGATGCATCGGCGATGCGGCTCGATGCGGAGCACGATGTTCGCCATGCCAAGGTCGCCGATGCATCGCCGACGTCGCCGATGCGTCGCCGATGCATCCCCGATGCATCGGCGATGCATTGGCGATGCGGTGCAATCCTCCGACCCCTTTCACTCGGACCCCATCTAGGATGCCTTTAATTTTGCACGCCAGGGCTCAAATTCCTTGCTGGAAGCCGCCGCCTGTGAACGAGCGGTCCCGTGGCGAGCTCGACCAGCCTCTTATCGTGGCCCCCCGTCTCGAGCAGTGGCGACGCGTCTTGGCTTTTCTACAGGCCCACCAAAGAATGTTCTAAGAACTTGTTTGTTGCCTGCACGAATTTGTCTTACATCATTTCTGGTTGAGACTGTCTTGCTTTAACTCATCGGGACTATGTTCTAAGAACACGGCTGTTTTCTTAGACAGTGTTTGGCTTCTGAGAAAATTCCGTGGTAGGCTATAGGAATGCCACGACGGTCGGTCCCTGCTCGACCGTCCTCTTCCTCCCTTGGCATCCTCACGTCACGTTGTGGAACAATCACGACGGGATGCTTTTTTGATCGGTTTCGGCATCTGGGCCCTCGCCCGGGATATTCAAAAACAAACCATTCGAGATGACAAGTCGGTCCCGGGGGATGGGGCGGGACCTGCGGAAGTCCATTGTGCGATTGGAAGAATAACGATTATCTAGGTCATTTCCTCCTCTCGGTCTCAGCGCTCGCAAGAACGCCTTCCAGATATCCTCTAATTGCAGGGCCCGCCTTTTTAAGGCACTGCCTGGTCTTCAACCACGCCTCTTGGAGGAAGGATATAAGTGTTCGCTGCCAAGCGTCTGCATCTACGCCATAAGCGTGTGTGAAAAATATCAGATGTCAAAGGTACCCCCCTTCAACCATCAGCTCCCGCTCCCAACGCTTCAAGGTGTCCCAAGAGTTGCCCATGACCCGTCGGATTCGTCAACAGTGTCTGTCCAAAAGGTCCAACAAGCCCCCAGGCCCCCAGGATGCCTCCATCCAAGAAGAAGCAGCAGCCACGACAGGCCACAGCAAAAGCAGAGCCAGCGCGCAGGCGGCGGCCGGCGGCCGGCGCCCGCCATCTGCGCCCCGGCTCGGCGGGGCGCGCGCTGCGGCCCAGCCCGGCAGTTGCCTTGGCGGCCCTGCGCCCTCCAGGCCGCCGTCGTGGCAATGCCATATATATATATATGTTCACATACATACACACATATATATACAGATACGCACATACATCTACATATACATTGCAGTTCTATGTCCACATACATACACACATATATGTATACACATGTATGGGTATAGATGCCTCTGGCCGACAACAGATATACTTACATGCGTATATATATATATATACACACAAAAATTGGCGCTTGCGTATGAGTACATGCGCGTGCGCGTGCAGGATGCGATCAGCACGTGCAGCTTCCGGCCAGCGACCCTGTCGTGCCAGCGTCGCTGTCATCGTCACCGTGCGCTCCGCAGCCTCCGGCACCCGATTCGCCGACGTTGGCCGCGGGTGGTCTGCCGAGGCCTCCGCCCACCCCCTTCCCGTCCTGTGCGGGAGGCCCCCCTTTGTCCTTATCGGTGGCGTTCCCCCCACCGCCACCCTCTTCGAATTTTCTTTCCCTAGTTCGATCTGCGTCACAATGACATACTAATACCACATGTGCGTAGCTCCCCCCGGGGCGACGTGCGCACCGAAAAATACAAGATTGTAGAATCTCCGTGGTGGATGCTCTCTGGCCGTACCCCTCTGGAGGCGATGTACCACAAGATGGTTGTATTAGATGTTGGGGTGGGATGCACGCCTCCGAGGAGGACGCATAGCATCAGTACGTCCTTGTGCGTCTCACTCGAGGGTCGCGGCGCTCTCGCCCTCGGCTTCTCCCCGCGCCTCGCCCCATCTGGTGGCGACATCGGACCAGCCCGCATCTGCAGGACTCGGACCGTGCAGCGACCACGGGGTGATCGCACGCCGAAGCCGGTGATTACTCCCACGGCGGCGGTGCTTCGGTCCCCCGCCTCTCCCCCCTCCTCTCCCTCGCCTCGCCCCCTCCACCTCGGCCCGTCGGCCTCCCTCCCCCCCCCCTCGCGCCTCGCCCCCATCCCCCTCCCCTCCCCATTAGGGGACCACATGCGAACCCTACCCCTACCCCCCACGATTTCTGAGGGGGAGGGTGGGGTTCACTTCGCTCAGGAGCTCCCGAACGAAGTGAGCCTCACTCTCCCCCTCAGAAATCGTGGGGGGTAGTGGTAGGGTTCGCATGTGGTCCACTACTCGTCCCTCCCCCCTCATCCCTCCCTGTTCTCTTCCACAAGTACACAACAGGAGTACTGGTCTCCACTCTCCCCTGACTCTGTCCAGAGAGTGTTCCGTCGTCTCCGCGCACTGTTTTTTCATACTGGATGTCATTGTTTTTCCTTTTGTGTTTTTTCAATCCGGTCGTTTCTGGTTCTTCCAAGCGGGTGATCCCGCTGCAGCGCCAGCCTCATTTCCGCGCTTCGGTCATTCAAGATCGTGCTTCCGCTGCAGCGTTGGCCTCGTTCCCGCGCCTCCGGACGGCACTTGGCATTCGAAAGCGCCCACATCGGGAAGGAACGGTCGCGGAGGACGTGGAGCTGGCCTTCCGGACAGGCCATGTCCTCTCGTAGACGGGCCACTTACCTTCCATGCTATCCAGGGCCGCGGCACGGCATGCAATGCGATGCTGTGCTGTGCACCGCTGTGCGATGCAATGCTTTGCGTTGCTATGTTCCGACATTCCATGCGCTGCCATGCAATGTTACGACATTCCATGCAATGCTGTGCGATGTGATGCAAAGCTTCACCATGCCATGCCACGCCATGTTACGAATTCCATGCGCTGCCGTGCTATTCTACGCCATGCTTCTCCATCCATCGCGAACTATCTTGAGATCATTGCCCCGCTCGACATCCGACTGTGCGAATAGATAAGAGATCTACGCCATGGTAAGGGATGGGAGGGAGGGGTAGGACGTCAGATGTGACGCTAGCACACCTAGCTTGTCCCCTCCCCCTCGCCCCCACCCCTCCACCTCCCTTTCCCACATTCCCCTCCCCCTCCCTCCCCTCCGTCTGCTCTCCCCCTCCCTCTCCCTTCCCCTTCCCTGACCCCCCTCTCCCGAGAGAAAGAAACTAACCCGCGGAAGGGTTCAATCCCGTGCAAAAGGATTTAATTCCTGGCTGAAGGGCCCAATCACCGGAACCTATTTTCTTCCGATGCCGAAGCATTACAGCATGCCGTCAGTGTGCATGTGAAGAAATGCGGTGGTCCGCTTCTTAGGCTTGTCGAAAGGCGCCGTGGGCCTCCCGAAAGGCCTCGCGGGCCTCCCGAGAGGCCCCTTGAGCCTCCCGTAATTTGTTGGTTGATATTTCCGAACGTGCCTCCCGAGAGGCCCCCTGGGCTTTCCCAGAAGCCACTTGGGCCTCCCGAGGGACCTCATGGGCCTTCCGAGAGGTTTCTTGTGCCTCCCGAGGCGACTCTTGGACATCCGAAAGGTTCCCTGAGCATTTCGAGACGACTTCTTGGGCCTTCCAAGAAGCCCGTTGGGCCTCCTGTGAGGCCCTTTTGGGCCTCCTGAGAGGCTTGTTGGGCCTCTTCCGAGAGGCTTCTCGGGTCTCTCGAGAGACGTCTTGGGCCTTCCGAGAGGCTTGTTGGGCCTCTCCAGAGAGGCTTCTTGGGTCTCTCGAGAAGTTTTTGGGGGCCTTCCGAAAGGCCTCTTGGGGTCCCGAGGGGCCTTCTGGGCCTCCCGAAGACGTTCCCTGGGCCACCCGAGAGGCCTCTTGCGCTTTCTGAGAGGCCCTCTTGGGTTTCTTGAGAGGTTTCTTGGGCCTCCCGAAAGGCCCCTGGGGCCTCCTGTGCATCTTTTCAGTTTTCCCGGGAGGCATCTTGGGCTTCTCGAGAGGCCTCTCTGGAGGCTCGGGAGGAGGAGGAGGAGTGAGGCAATGAGGACGAGGAGGGTGTCTTGGGGACCTCTTGGGGGCCTCCTGGGGCCTCTTAGGGGGGAGGCGACTGGCCTGTCTGACGCCTTCGGAGGCGGTCTTGGGGACCTCTCTGGGCCGTCTTGGTGCCTTGGAGCGCTTGAGGGCCTTCTTGGGGCTCATTTGGGGAGGGACGATGAAGAGGGTTAGGATGACAATGATGATGATAGTGAGGATGCTGCTGCAGATGACGAATGAGGATGATGCGGAGACTGATTATTAGGATGATGATGATGATGATGATGATGATCATGATGATGATGCTGACGATGATGGCGATGGTGATAGTGATGGTGATGATTGTGTTGATGATGGTGGTGGTGGTGCTGTCGATGATGGTGATGAAGATCATGAGGATGAGGATGAGGATGATGGTGAGGATGAGGGTGAGGATGAGTATTTTGCTGATGATGATGACGGTAAGGTTTAGGTTGACGACGGTGATAGGGACGGGGGGACGTGGGGGATGAGGAAGATACCGATGATGACGATACCGCTTATGACGGTGAGCCTGATGATGAAGAGGAGGTGGGCGATACGTATCGTCAGTCCTCGTCGTGGTCGTCAGTCGTCGACTTGCGTCGTCATTCGCGGTCGTCGTTGTGAGTCGCCAGTCTTGATCTTCGTGCACTCGCGCGCGCCGCCGCTCGGGGGGAGTGAGAGGATCTGTTGAGTGAGGAGGCGTAGGATGAGGAGGATGGATGTGGATGAAGGCGACGAGTGGATGAGGAACATGATGATGATGATGATGACGACGATGATGATGATGATAATGATGATGGTGATGATGATGATGGTGATGATGATGGTGATGATGATGATTACGACGACGATAATGCTGATGATGACGATGACAGTGATGATGACGATGATGGTGAAGTTGATTTATGATTGCAAGGTTGAGGGGCACGATGAGTATGAGGCTGACGGTGTTGATTAGGAGGATGGTAAGGGGGATGCTTACGGGATGCAGGGTTGGAGGGATGAAGGGAACGAGGGATGGTCCGGCCATTCCCGGCCCTTCTCTCATTGCTCCCCCAGTTGGGCACACCGTGAGGCATACCTCCCAAATAATAGAGTGTCACACAAAGGTAGGCGAACATGATGCGGCACCCTACGCTCAGGAATCTCGCCTCAAGAGGAGGAGGATCGATGATGATAATACTGTTGATGAGTAAGAGGATGAGGATAATGATGCTGATGATGATGATGCTGACGACGACCGAGATGATGATGCTGATGATGATGCGGAGGCGGAGTAGGAGGAGGAGGTGGCTGGTGATGCTCAGGCTGATGTTGGTCATGGTGATGCTGATTACGAGGGTGATCTTGATGATGATTCATGTCTAGTGGCCTTCGGCCTATTTCGTTGCCGGGCCTGGCTTGCGGGTCGGAGGAACCATCTATTCTTTTTGGGGTCTCGTGGGCGATTTCTGTGGAGCCTCTTGGAGGCCTTGGTGTGGCTTGCTGAAGCCTCGTAAAGCCCGTTCGGAGGCCGTTCGGGTGCTCTTTTTAGAGCCTCTGGGAGGCGTCTTGGAGCCTTCCGGGGGCCACTGCGAAGCCCGTTGGCGGT